CCTTGCTCTTTCAATTCCTCAATGCCTCAGTTTTCTCACATTTAACCTGGGTGTGATTATGATCCTTCCATCAGAGAGGAGGGAATATGAGTAGACTGTTTAGGGATGCGCCTGACAAGTATGGCAAGTCCTTAGTACACGTTAATATTGTTGACATCATGTTAGCAGCCTCACAGCACTGAAATGTACAGAATGACTTCAATTCTGTGGGACTTTGGGCAATTCTGGACTTGGACTCTCCCTGAATATGCCTGGGGGATCTGGAACTTATGTGGACTCCTATTCCTGGTCCACGTTCCATGCTACATGACCTACCCATTGACCAGCACCTATGCCCTGTGATTCCTCATGAAGCAGGCTCAGGTTCACCCATCACAAGTTTGATGTGTCCCCAAACAATACCTTGCCTCCTCCGGGAGTTGAGCTTCCTAAAGCAGGTCCCTTCCACAAGGCGGTTCAGACGTTGCTGTTTGATCAGCTCTAGGATTTCGGGTTGAATCTTCTCCTTTAGTTCCCTGTTAAAGGATAAGCACATCTTTCATAGCAGGCCGTGAGCAACAGTGCTTGCATTGAACACATACCATGAACTGCATTTTTTCATGAAAGTCCCAATACCTTCCATGTCAGTACTTTAGAGAATCACTTATTAAGCCTGGGTTATCTATCTACATGATAGATTCTCTGACATCTATAGAACATTCGCAAAAGCACCATTTCAATGGTGCTTCCAGACCAAGGCACGCCCCCAAATTTCTCCATTTTCCAAAGTCATAGTTATACATGTATGCAGAAATTCACTCAGCTGGACAAAGGCAATGTATTTCTGGTCACATGTCCTTACTTCCTCCTAGAATGTTGTTTTTCTGCAGTAGGTAAACCCCTAAACAACATGTGTGATCTGACTAAGCAGGAATATTGGGCAAAAATGTGGTAGTCACCTACTCTGGTGTCAATTTAAGGAGTAAGAGTGTAGGGGTGGAGTCTGGGTTGTCAATCTAGAGATAGCCAATGAGACTTCTGTGTGGGAATGGCCTTCTCCTGAGAATTCTTGGAAATCTGGTACTTCCTCCTTGGAGGTGGAAGACACTGCTCTCTCTCTGCTACTCCCTGGGAGACATTGCAGAAGGCAAGCCACATGGATGCAACCAGACCTCGGAAGCCAGAGAAGCCACAGAGAGACCCCTGCCAGTGCTGAGATGTTTCCAATGACATTGGATCCAAAGACTTTCTACCCACTGGCCTGTGGTCTTCTACATTCAGCGTCATTACATGTGTTTCATGAGTCTGAAGAGGACTTTATAGATTGGCATCACACATATGGGCTAATATCGGACTTATGGACTTTATCTGGACTGGGCTGGGGTGTTTTCTCAATGTTCAATTGCTCCTGTATATAAATCTCTTTCTTATACACATATGTGTGCCCATGGATTTGTTTCTCCCAGACTAACACAAATATGATCCTTAGACCACAGAAAACACTATTTTGGTCCGAGCACAGGACCGCATTTTGGTTTTGATTCTATCACTCACAAAAGGGAATGACAACACACTCCCAGATTCCAGCCCTTAGACATTGGGATAATGATGGGATAAATTAAAGACGGTTTACATTCTGACTTAGGCTAATCTAGTGTAATTCAATTTTAGATGCTGAAAAGATAATCATAGTATAGTGCAGTAGTTTTCAAATCTTTTCTTTTTCTTAGCAGAGATTTTTCTCCTATGGAATGGTACCTAGCACTTATGTCTTCTGATGCTAGAGACGTCCTGGGAAGAGCAGGACAAGGAAATCCAGCATGCAGAGCAGTGTAAAAAGTGCTGGTCAGCACACAGATGGCTAGAGTTGTAGTCAAGGCTTTGCCTGTGACTAGAATATCATAGCTCATCTACGACTCAGTTTTCTCATCTATAAAATGGGAATACAAATGTTTCCTGGTCAACAACGGTGACTTCCCAAGAAGAAAGTATGAGGGCAAGGGCTCTGGATATATTGACAGGAATACAAGGTATATTGAATTTCTGTTAACAACACTTTCTCATTTCTTCAAGCCAAATACTTCATATGCTCATTGTCACCTGTAGTCAAGAATCGCATAATTAATGCCATTGGGAGTCACTTTCTGGAAGTTGTGGTTTATGTATTTTCATTTGGGGGGGGGGGTATGAAAACCAGGACTGATGAACCTACAGTGGCATCAGGTGGAATAAAGGTTTTGAGGGGAGGGGAACACAGAAGTGGTGGCGGGGTGGAGGGGTGTTGCTATAAAGAGGTCCATATAGAAAAAGAATGTTTGGAAAATGATTATGGTAGCAAATGTACAATTCTGTTGGACATGATTGAAATATGGAATGATTTGATATATGTATTAAGGCCCATTAATAAAACAAGAGAATTGAAGAAAAAAAGGAATCACATGATTATCAGCTGCAGCTCAACCTGTGGACTTGCTCTGACACCAGACTGCAGATACCTGCTCTCACATGGGGTTCCATTCTCAGGTGGGAAGGAGCTAATGATTGATAAGCATATGCCACGGGCTGGGTACTGTACGATATGCCCTCTGGCTCACTTGACAACCGCATCCCTAGCCCCCATCACACAGAAAACAACTTTTGGGAATATTGTTATTATTCCTATCTTCCAGATGAGAAAACAACTAACTCATAGAGATTCAGCACAGAATGAAAGGGGGAGACTTAGGATTACCTTGTGCAAGGTGCTTCCATTTACACATGAGAACAAAGGATAAGAAGCTCCCGCCAAAGGCTCTGGCTATGTGACAGTGTATTCTAGTAGTACATTAGTACAATTTGTGGACTTAAAGGGCTTCAAACCTCCTGTCATTCGATACTCTTCTAACTGAACATTTATAAAAGCATAATATGGAAATCTGGGTATAATAATAGAGCAAGGCACATCTGTCAAGCCTTTTTCTGGGTAGGTCTCCTAGGGTTTCATCACAGGTTTTCAGCTCACTACAACTATTAATTATCAGCACTCAGCTTTCGTAAAACGGACTCAGTAAATGGCAGCTTTGATGAACCCTGTTCTGAATGGAGAAGAAGGTGGGAAATCACCGGCCACAGGAGACAAGACTTCCCAGATGGGGTGGAGGGGTGGTGGAAGGGACGGCACTAGAGGCAGGAAAATCTTGGGGGAAAGAGCTCTGGAAGCTCCTCACTTCTTTGACTCTGACGTTCCTTTAAAGAAAATCGTTTTCTAGGGCTGGGGTGAGCGCTGACAATGGAGAGGACATGCAGACATCAAGACCACTGAGGACGAAATAACAGAATGTACTCGCATTTCTGAGCCACTCCAGCTGATGCTCTGTGCCTTTCTGTGTAAGTCTGGGTGGGACGCACACGGGGTCAAGGAGGCAAGGTCACGGGTCTTTTGGCCATGCTTTGATAAATAGTCTTACTTTTTACAGAATCGTCATAAATTAAAATAGAAGGGAAATTAAAAGATAAAAGAGGGAGTAGAAAAGCTAGAAAAGAGCAATTCAAAAGTTAGCAGTTATTTCTGGGAAGAAATTTCCACTGTAGGCCCATGGAGGCCATTGCCACACACAGGAGTCAGACAGTACCACGACACTGAAGGGCTTCTTTCATCAGCCTTGGCTGTGCTCTCTGAGCTACTGCTACTTGGTGTTCCTCCAATACAGGGGTTGCCAACGTTTTCTGAAAAGGGCCAGATGTACATACTTTAGTAAACCGTGTAGGCTTTGCAGGTCATCCAATGGTTGTTGCAAGTACTCAACCTGGTCATTATAGCATATGTACACCCATAAAAATTCTTCACAAAAGTAGGTAGTGGGCCACATTTGACTCTCTGGCCATTGTCTGTCAACCTCGAATCCAGAACAAGTTAGTGGAAATTGGAGGTGAGCGATGATTCACATTTCATAGAAATTGATGTTTCTGTCTCAGTGTTGGAGGGGGTAAGCGCCCAGTCCTCAATCTCCTTCTCTTCTTTATAATACGGATTCGTGACTTTACATAACAACGTTGAGCTGGTGACTCCCAAATTTATATTTCCAACCTTGACTTCCCTATGGGACTCAGAATCATTTGTCCAGCAGTTTACTAAGCCTCTCTACTTGATATCCCTCAGATATCTCCAATTTGACAGGTCGAAAAGAGAACTCCTGATCACATGCCCAAATCTTCACTCCTGGTCTTCCCCTTCTCAACTCCATCCTTCCATTGTTCGGGCCCAAATCCTTGAGCTCATCCTTAAAGACTCGCTTTTATAACACCACATTTCATCCATCAGAAAAAAAAATTCATCATCTGTTATCTTCAAAATATGGCTTATCTATACGAGAGAATCTAATCCACCTCTTGCCCCGATGGTTGACAGTCCCTCAACTGGTCTTTCAGCTTCCAAACCTGACCCTTTCAGTCTCATCCCAGTAATCAAGCCAGAAGGATCATTTATAGACCTAGTCAGATCATGGCGCTCCTCTGCTGAAACTCTCCAATGGCTTGCCACTAACTAACGTGCTTAAAATGTCCAAGAAAACTCAGTGTATTATTCTCTCTGCCTGAAATGCTTTTTACCCAAACGCTTGCATAGACCTTAATCTTGCATATGTATTTGCTGAAATGTCACCATCATAATTAGAGAGGTTTTTTAATTGCATATTTCCTCTTTCAACTTGCTAGAACAATGAACTTATTGACTATATCAGTTGCTTACTTCTCCCCGACATGAAGGCGAGGATTGTGTCCGTTCGGTTCACTGGTCCGTTCCCAACACACAGAACGGGGCTTGGTACATGACAGGCACTTGATAAGCATTTGAACACTGAAAACTGTATAACTGACATGACTGTCTACCCGACCTTGGTTACTAAGAAACGTTGAGCAAACCTGTGGCCAATCTTCAGCAAGGGTGCAGATTCACGGTACAATCATTCCTTTTATTTCTGTTTCTATTTGTTTTTACCTTTTCTTTCTTACCTATTTTACTGTACTTTCTAACACACAGGAAGGTATATTCCTATGTATCTGCAGTGTCACCAACTCGCAGTAAACCGGTTCATAGCAACCCTCCAGGAGAGCAGATCTGCCTGGCAGGGTTTCCCAGGGAGGATTCCTCACAGAAGCAGACTGCACCTCTCTTTCCGTGGAGCAGATGGTGAGTTCCAACCGATGACTTTTCAGTTTGCACCTGAGGGCTTAACCACAGCGCCACCAGAGCACCTGGTTCGAATCCTAAGAGTGACCATTTCCTTGAGTAAATACTATGAGCCAGGCGTGTACCAGGTGTTTTTATGCATGACGTCACCAAACTCTGCTAACAACCCAGGGAGGAAGGTGCTCTGATCATCTGCACTTCGAGGCATGAGAAAAGCAACGCTTAGAATGGGTCAAGAAAATTGCTCCAATAAATATGAGTGGTGGAGCTAGACTTTAGCAGCTTAGGTTTTACACATTTATTCTTCTGCTTCATTGGAATTTGTCCTTGGAACCCCCTTCTCCCCTTCAAGATTGTGATAAATGACCT